GTGCTTATGCTTTGCATAAAATGTGTGCGTGTGATAATAGGTGTTATATGACCTTACAGTGAAAGAAGAAAAATGAATATCAATGTAATTGCATCCCTATCAAAAATCAAACAATAGCCTTGAAGTTGACTGCCTTTTTCATTTTGGTCCTCAGTCTCATATTAGTACAATTTAATTCTCAATTGAACAATTAACTTCTAATTTTTTTTCAAGTTAACCCCTTATTCTGTTTAATTAGAGCTCCTCTATTTATGTGCTTTTTTTCAATTTGATCCTTGATTTTGAATTTTTGTAATTAAGTCTCTAATTGGCCTTCAAACTTCAATATTTATGCAATTAAGCCCTTAATGTGACCAAATTAACTCTCAAAAATTATAATTTGACTTCAAAGTCAATTTTTCTTGCAATCAAAACCACCATATATTCAATTAAATTTTCAATAAAATTTAACTGAGTCTATAAACATTTGATTTTGGACTTTTCTTCAATAAAATTTAACTGAATCTATAAATATCTGATTTTGGACTTTTCTTCCTCAAATTAAATTTTCTTTATCAATAGGACTCTCATTAGTTAACAAAATGCTATCAAATTTTAATATTTATATTTTTGAACCCCTTGAACCATTTTTAATTATTTTTAGGGCGCTCTGGCATCCTCTTTTAACTGTTATATTTTTTATAATATTTTTTATTTTTTTGTATTTTTCTCTTTATTTTTTTCTTTTCAATTTTCTTTTTTTTTAATTTGTACGGGGACCCAAAAAATGAGTTATAACACTTTTAATAGATTTACTATTGATATTTAATATCATCATTAATAAGAATACAATTAGGATTATTTTTGTCTATTAAGTAATAAAAGAGTTGCAATTATAAAAAATGTGAAGTGAGAATGACATCTATTTTTATTTTATTTTTTGAAGTTAATTAGTGGTTGAATTTCTTTTGTAGGACCTTAATTTCTAATTTTGATGTTAAGTTAATATATACAAAAATATTTCAGAAACATAAATACTTTTTTGTAACTAATTTTCTATGCATTTAAATTACTTGATTATAAGAATTTTTACTAACCCATAACTATATATAAAAACACTAATTATGAATGGAAACATTTGATTCCACGAAAATATATTTGAGTTTTACTAATTAACCATCACATGGATTTACTTTATTGATAATTACTATACATATTGTTTTACCATAAAAACATTTGCGTTCCAAAATTAAAAAGATTCAATTTCACGAAAGGAAAATATTTTATTTTTGTATATGAAAATAAAACATGTATGGCAGAAAATTCAAATCCACCGATAACTAGGAAAGAGACTGAAACAGTAAATAATTTCTAATAAATTGATTAATATCGCTATTTCGCATGAAAAAAGATAATTAAAAATCGCTTCTTAAAACACCCCTCGCCTATCTAGGATCTCATATTATTTTGACTCTATTGTTTTACAATTATTTACGAATATTAAAATAGAATCATTTAAACAAAACAATTCAAAAGCATTTATATTCATTACTACATTTTTAGTTTACATTGATCTCGCATATAGTTAAAACACGAAATATTGATATTACATCAAGATTTAACAAATTATTAGAATGGACCTTGGTTTCTTTTATATATTATAGAAGATTCTTGGTTATTTTTTTATATTATATTTGACTCTTTTGGATAGAAATATTTAAATCATTTAGAAAACTCTACATTAAAAAAAAAGACAAAAGATAACATATATAAATTATTATTTTTTTTTGAGTCTAGAGATTTAGTATGTACCTCGTATATATTAAAAAAACAACACTTTAAAATAAAAAGATTGGTAAAAACTATAATGCTAACATAATCATGTTAAAATTTATATCATTTTATTTTATTTACTTGTGTCTGAATATATATATATATATATATATATATATATATATACAGACAAAAGTGATTCACAAATATTATAATATAATAGCATGGTAGCAGAAGCAAACATTTTAATTTTATAATATTAAAAGTTTAACTAATCATCATGCAGTGGAAGGACTTTATTTATAATTACTAAATTTATTATTTATTTAAAAAAAACTATATGCCAAAATTAAAAAGACATGGTTAGCATGCAGTTGGATTTTGTTTTTTTTTAAAAAAAAAAATTCAATATGACGAGCTAGCTAATTCAGGATTGAGGATGGGTTTGAAATCGTTACTTGTTGAAGCAAGAAAATGGAGTTATTTTTGTCCGGCCATGGTTTTATTAACACTGTGCAAAGTAATGAGAATCAATAATTTTTAATTTTAGCAAAATTTGTAATTTGACCTTAAATTTTAGTGAAGTCCATCTTAAACCACATGTCTAATTATTAATCAAAAATATATAAATTATAGTTTGAGTCAAAACATAGCTTTAACCACGATACCAAATAGATTTATTGTATCATTGTCTTTGGACTATGCTAATGTTTTTTGAATATACATAAAAATATAAAAATATTAAGTGTTGCTAATGTTTTTCTTATAAAAAAATATATATCATACATAGGTTGATTTAATGTGACTTGATTGGTTTGATAAGTTAAAACACAACTTAAATAACTGATAAAAATATAGTTTGACACATAAAAATTCAAGATAATATCTTAAAAAAAAAATTAACAATGTACTAGATTGATCTGAATCCACCCTAGTTAACTTATCAAATTTGGAATCTAGATTATGATACTATAATAATCCTATATGAAACAAGTAAAAAAATTATAAAAACTCAATTTTTAATCAATCAAATGTTAAAGAATGAAATTTAAAAAAAATTAAAAAAATAATCAACATGAGTTAATATATTAAACTCGTGATCCAAGTCATGAAACCACTATAATCTCATAGAAAATAAATATAAAAAATAACATGAGACAATTCGAGTTAATATATCAAATATATGATATCAAGGTCATGAAACCATGAGACTTTGATAACCTTATTGTAAATAAATCAACACAAATTATAAAATCTAATTTTCAATAAACCATTGTTGAAGAATAAAGGTGAAAAAAATAATCTAAAAATAGGACACAATAAAACGATTTAAGCCTACCCGTGTTAACTTAGAAAACACATGCTTGAGTTATAAGACTGATATAATCTCATTGAAAACAAATTAAAATAAATTATAAAATTTAATTTATATTTAATTTAAAGTTGAAATATGTAATTAAAAAAATCTCAATATTAAAAATCTTGTTTTTTTCACTAGTTTTTTTCTTTTGATTTTTTTAAATTTATGTTTTTTTATTTGTTTTTTTATAAAATTATTATAATCTCATCTATATCATAAGTTTGACAAGTTCATTTAAGTTAATTATAGTTATTTTTTATTTTTTAATTAATTTTTTATTTTTATTTTTTAATATTTGTTTGATTGAAAATTACCTGAGTAATTTTAGATTTATTAAGTCAATTAGATTATATTAAATTATTAAAATAATTATGTATAAATATAATAAAATATAAGTGAGTCTTCTAAATCACTTTTTACTGTTAAAGTGTATATAAGCAAACAAATAGAACCATATTACTAATTTGGAGATGCTCTTGCGAACTTAAATTAGGAAGGCAATTCCATGCATGTGCAACGAAGATAGGCCTTAGTTCTACAGTCTTTGCGGGCAGTGCAATCTTAGATTTGTCTGCCAAGTTGGGTTCCACTGAAGAAGCGCAAAGAGCTTTCGAGGACAAACAAAACCCCAATGTTGTCTCTCACCCATCTGGCTAAACCCACCAATCATCGCATTCCACGACACAACATTTCTCTCCGGCATCTGTTTAAAAAGCTTGAGAGCCTCCTCACGCCTCCCTCTCTTGAGATCAGAATGAGGAGGCTGTAAATCTTTTTGTTGAGACGAACAGAGAAGGCTTGCAGCCTAGTTAGTTTACATTACTTGAAATGTGCAAAAGCTTTCATGCTTGTGCTGTTAAGACATTGAGTGAGTTTAGCGTGTTTGTAGTCAATTCTCTAGTTACCTTCCACGCAAAATGTGGAAGCATGGAACATGGTCTCCGTCTTTTTTGTGAACTTCCTGTAAGGGTATCGTCTCTTGGAATGCTGTGATTTGTGGCTTTGCACAGAATGGGAGGGGAGAGGAAGCTGTGAACTTCTATGAAAGAATGAGGATCACCGGTCTGAGACCTAATAGTGTTACGTTACTTGGCTCGTTATGGGTCTGCAATCATGCCGGTCTTGTCAACAAGGGATATTCATATTTCAAGCATGCAAGGCTTGAGGACCTCAGCTTGTTCAAACCTAGACATTATGCTGTATATTCATGTGGACGTTTCAAAGAAGCTCGGGTTATGACTTGCCTTTCAATCCAGGAATTGGGTTTTGGAAGGCATTGCCAGGAGGCTGCCGATGTACATATATCATGTTGAATTGGCTGCTGGTAGATGGCAAGCTGTGCCATGATTCGGCAATTGATGAAGCAGAGGGGGTTGAAGAGAATTCCGGGGTCCGGTTGGATCGAAATCAGAAGCATAGTTCATGTCTGTCACCTGTGATGGAGACGTTTAACAAGAAATGATTCTAAACCTCATAATTCCTCCCATGCTCGGGCACAGATAATTTCGAGGAAGTAAAATGCAGTCGCACCAAAACATTACCTAACAGAATGAAGCACCGAATGTATCCTATATATTATAGACACATGCTTGCAGTGCACACAGGCAAAAAGGAAGGATGGCCACTCTTCATCCCATTGGCACAAGTATGAAACAAAAAAAACAAAAAAGAGAAACCAAACTCTTCACCCACACGTCAACAAATACCATTTACTGATGCATTTGCTTCCCTTTAGCGTGGGATCATTTAGTAAATATAGTAAAAAATTTCTTGCAAAGATGGTTCTTTTCTTTTCCACCTGACAAGTGCACTACTTGAGACACAAAATTACCAATCAACCATGCTTTTATGGAACAAATATAAATGCCACATTTTTTATGTTGAAATGTGAGGAAAAATGGCATAGATTTCTACAATCTGTTAACATTGATCGCAATCTTTGACAGTCAAACAAGACATAGCACAACAACATCAAAACATCAACCAAAGCTATTCAAATGCAATGTATCAAACTGAAATTGCTGACCCAACTCTGCTCGAGGTTCTTAAATATCTTCTCAGTTCAAACTTGAAAATTGAAATGCTTAAAAAAAAGGCATGGAAATGGAAATGGCAAATAATTTAGATTATTCCGATCTTGTTTGCCACATCCAAAGCATCGTAATCTGGTGTCAATCTAACATATGCCTTCTTTGTCCCATCCGGCCTGAAACAAAACAACAGAGCAAATATAGTTCAGAGATGAAAGCAGCATGTCAAAGAAGAACAAGAAACCTATGCAAGGTAGATTGCCATAAAAAGTTAACATCTGCACTGATACTTGACGACACTCAAAACATGCTTTTGGTTTCAAGGCTGTTGCAGTTTGATGCACAAAGCTTCAAGGCATCAGATAAATTTAGCCATTGCTAGAAAATGAACTGATGATAACAAACTAAACAAGATAACTGCTTTCATATAGATAATTGAATATATATCAGTGAAGATGCTAGAATAGACTAAACAAGATGTACTAATCTGTTCATTTCATCTTTTACCAAATTAGCAATGCTAGATTTGGTCTATGTTATCTACACGTCTGTAAAAAAGAAAACATATAATACGATCCTGTATATTAGACTAAGAAAAAGCAAATTAGGAGCATATAGCCTCTTATCAGGCAAGCCCAACAGTACCAGGTTCTGGAGGTAATCAGTGACATTGTAAACATGTTAACTTGTTAACTTGTTCTATAATAACATTGCTTCAAATAAATAGCTCACAAACAAAAGGGAATAAAGAGATGGTCATTGTCACCTGATTAAGGTATTCACTTTCTTCGTTTGAATGTCATACATCTTCTTCACAGCATCCTTAATCTTCTTCTTATCAGCTCGAATGTCAACAATGAAAACTAAAGTGTTGTTGTCCTCAATCTTCTTCATCGCTGACTCAGTTGTGAGAGGATACTTTAGGATCTGATAATGATCAAGCTTGTTCCTTGGAGTTGCACTAATTCGAGGGTATTTGGGGTTCCTCTCCTTCTTCAATGTCCTGGGGCGATGAAATGTGACCTTAGTTCGTATCTTCTTGGACTTCTTGAAAGCTGGAGCACCCGACTTCAAGGCCTTGGCAGCTTTCTGAGCCTGTGTCTTTGCATCAGCCTTCTTTACATCTAAGTAACAAAAAACACACACACAAGAAAGCAAGTATGCCATTAAAACTCCACATGCTCTTACATCAATCATTTCATTTTTTCCATTACCACAAATCTCATTTATATTACTCTTAAAGCTCCACACTTAAATGACACTGAAAAACAATGTTAAGCTACAAAAATACACTAAACAACCCAAAAATATCTTCTCTAAAGTATAAATATCGAAGTCACTAGCAAATAAGCAGCCCCAGTTATTCATACTACCATGACCTTTGACTTCACTAACTTGTTATTAGAAGCCAAGCCTAGAAGAACCACCCCTTTAGTCCGAACAATCACAAAACTAGGTCCATAACCAATACAAGAAACTGCAAAGAAATCAAAACTGAAAAAAAGCTAAAAGATAGCTTATCCAGGTAAATAATAATAATAATAATAATAATCTATCCAGGTAAATAATAATAATAATAATCAAGAAAATGAAGATAGCCATTGACATACCTTTAGGAGCCATTGCGGAGCTGGAGGATGGCCACTCACAAAACTGCTGTTAGGGTTTTAGTTCCAAGCGAAGGACACAATTATACGACGAAAGCAGTGGCTAGTGCCTTGGCACGTGAGAGCATGTGAACAGGCCCAATTAACCTTCCGGCCCAACATCTAAATAACACACGCGTCCCCTAATCATCACTGGTTGGTCCCGTGAAAGAATTAAAGGAGGAGGAAACGCTCTGGGACTGGGACCATAGTTAGAAACTTAAACTATCCGTTGGGTTAACAATACTTGTGTGAACGTAACCCTGGTTAGACTCAAGCCACCTCAGGTTTAGCTTCCCAGATCTCTCTCTTTCTCTCTCCACAATTCAAGATTGTACTTTTTAGGATTTCAAAAAAAAAAAAAACCCCAAATTTTCTCTTTCAAATTTACAAGTTTTGTGTCAGTTTTTCAGAATTCAGATTCAAATTGAGTGATGGATTCTTCGATTGCCCCTTTAAGTTCAGAGAACTGAGAGAGAAATGGAGACGCAGAGAATAACAGAGTTTCCGCATAAGAACATGGATAAGCGTCCTAGGAAACGACAGCGTTTAACATGGGACAGACCTCCTCCTCCTCCTCCTTTCTTAGCTACTGCGAAGGTAAGTCTCGGATTTTCTTTCTAAGAAATCAGAATTTCTTTTTTTTTTTCTTTTGGCTAGAAATTAATATTATTATTTTTTATTGCAGGTGGTTCCAGGGATGTTCTGTGATTTTTGTATTGCAGGTGGTTCCAGGGATGTTCTGTGGTCAGGAATTTGGGAATGGGAATGGAGTGATTCCAAATTACGGGTTGTTTTACAATCGGAATGGTTCACCTCCTTGGAGACCTGATGATAAAGATGGACATTATGTTTTTGCCATTGGAGACAATTTGACTCCGCGCTGTTAGTACTTTCCGTCCCCCCGCATTAAAATTCGAGACGTCTGTAATGTTATTTCGAATCAAATTGCTTAATGTTTTTCTTACCATCTGCCTGATGGTGATTTTTATATGCAAAATGGAGATTTTATATTTGCAGTTAAGAGGGTTCTGAAAAGGCCGCTTCTATAATGTGAAGTTTGGCTTAACTTAATTCCATTAATTGGAGAATTAAGCATGCGGACTCTCTTTTCTGGCTTCAAGATCCGTTGATTCTGATTATATATTTTCATTTCTGATAATCTTTTCTGCCTTCCATTTTGCAGACAGGATTCTTAGCAAGATGGGCGAAGGTGAGTACTTTCTGGGTTTTGATTTTGTTATATTACATCCTCCTCTAATTTTTGGGTACTTCATTCAGTGGAATTTTATTTTCTGTGTCAAGATATTTAGTTTTATTGCCTGCTCATCTGAATCATGGAAAGCATATTTGTTGGAGGCTTTTGCATCTGATTGTGTCCTATTATTGAGTAGTTATTTTTATCATTTAACGGTAAACTTGTGATTTCTTTCATGTAGGGACTTTTGGGCAAGTCTTGGAATGTTTTGATAATGAAAAGAAAGAAGAAGTGGCAATCAAAATTGTCCGCTCCATACACAAGTATCGCGAAGCTGCAATGATTGAAATTGATGTCCTGCAGAGGCTGGCTAGGCATGATTTTGGTAGCACACGGTAAGGCTTTGCATTTTCTTTTCCTACCCTTGTTCATTCTAGAAGTTTGAAGTGATTTTGGTATAAGTGGTTTTATTCTTTGCAGTTGTGTACAAATACGGAATTGGTTTGACTATCGTAATCATATTTGTATTGTAAGTATTTATCAGTATTTCTGATTTGATTAATTTCCAGGAGCAATAAATGCTCTTGCGCGCCTAAATATTCTGTGAGTTAAAGGACTTGCGGATGAATTTAAATGGTTTCAACAGGTTTTTGAGAAGCTTGGACCAAGCTTATACGATTTTCTCCGCAAAAACAGCTATCGTTCATTTCCCATTGATCTTGTCCGGGAGCTTGGCAGACAACTTTTGGATTCTGTTGCATGTGTGTGGACAATTCTTTACCATTTTTATTTATATTTTATATAAACTTGATGCTCATATGCTCTTAATTAATTGGAAGCAAAATATAAGCACATGTTTTTACTTCTTTTTGCAATTTTCATATTTTCTTGAGCCCCAAAGTAAATATTGTTTGTGTTAGTATGGAGTTGGTTGATAGTAGGGATGATTGTTTTTCAGTTTGTTCATTAGTTTGTTACCTTTGCAGTTATGCATGATTTACATCTGATTCATACCGACTTGAAGCCTGAAAATATTCTACTGGTTTCCTCTGAGTACATCAAAGTGCCAGATTATAAGGTAATGCTTCAAAGGTTTGGTTGTATGGTTTTTTCTTTTTATTTCGCATTTTCCTCAGGACTTTAAATATGTATCTGCTAGTTTAAGAGTAGAAATGACATGAAATTTGGAATGCAACCAGAGCTTCTCTTATCCAAAAAAAATTGCCTTCTTCCTTTCTTTCCTGGATGTTTGTTTTTACACCTTTTGAAGTTCTTAAGATGCACAAAAATTTTGATTTGACTCTTAATCTACAGCAACATTGTTGTTAGAATATTTGGTGCCATGTCATGCATTGATGACATAGGTTTACTCTTAAGTAACATTATAAGCTAATAATATAGCATATTCACAGTTTGAGGTTTTGTTTAGATTCGTGATAATCACCAGGAGATACATGATAATGGGGCTTTCTCTTGTTTCCAAATCCCTGCTAAGCCATGGTTGAATTTTGTGTTTTACTCTTTTCCTCTCAAAGTTGATAGCCTTCTGATTTTTCCCACTTCATGTGATTTAGTTTCTTTCACGGTCCACAAAAGATGGTTCCTACTTCAAGAATCTTCCCAAGTCAAGTGCTATTAAGCTCATTGATTTTGGAAGTACCACGTTTGAACATCAGGATCACAGCTATGTGGTGTCAACACGGCATTATCGTGCACCGGAGGTGATTTTAGGTAATTGCTGTGAAACTATTGTTGCTCTGATGTTTTGATGCTTGTCGCCTAATGGCATTCCATGGCATATCTTCTGCAGGTCTTGGATGGAACTATCCCTGTGATATATGGAGTGTGGGTTGCATCCTCGTTGAATTATGTTCTGTAAGTAACTTCAGCTTTTTATTTTCTTTCCATGACTACATTTTCTTGCGTGTGAGATCACTAGTCATTGATACCGCTGAACAATGTTATTGCCCAGAAATGATTTCAAGTGAAAGGTTAAGCAAGACAGGCTGCTTTGGGTTAGAAACTGCCTTAGAAAATAGAAGTTTTCTTATGTGTATTGTTTATATTCTTTGTTTGATGAAGTTCTGGTAGCCATTATTATCTGCCAAGTTCATTAATAATGGTCTAGGGTGATTTGTGTCGTTAGATCTGATGGGTTTCCATAAATAGTGTAAAGTAAATTTTATATTGCTTTCTTGAAGGATGCTAATTAATGTTTGTTGTTCGGTTTCTCTATGAATAGGGTGAGGCTCTTTTTCAAACTCATGAGAACTTGGAGCATCTCGCCATGATGGAGAGGGTTTTAGGGCCGTTGCCACAACATATGGTGGTCAGGGCTGAGTAAGAGAATTCACAGTTATTGCTCTATTTGATTGTTTCCGTCTCTCCATGTTGATGAATCACTTACTTTGTGCCTGAACTAGTTGCAGTCGACGCGCTGAGAAATATTTCAGGAGAGGCATGCGATTGGATTGGCCTGAGGGTGCAACCTCAAGAGAGAGCATGAAAGCAGTCATGAAGTTGCCTCGTTTGCCTGTAATTTTCAGAATCCAACTCTATTAGTTCACTTGTAGAAATAACCTGCAGGCAGCCTATACTTGCACTGCTAAAGTACCAGAATTAACTTAGGTGAATGGAATCCACAAAGTGGTAATTAACTTAGGTGAATGGAATCCACAAAGAGAAGTCCTGTTAAAGGCATAATTGAATAAGAACTGGTTGCCTTTCTTAAATTCTTGAGAGTATCTTCCATATTTGTCTCTCAACTCCAGAATGGCTAACAAAAGGATCTTTCAAATAGCTTTTCTTACCTTGCTTCATTCTCTCTTGAAAGAAACAAATCAGTTACATTCATTCATTTTTAAAAGAGTAACCTCTTGATCAGTTTTTCTGTTTTTCTTGTGTAGAAATATTGGTTATGCTTTTGTTTTCTGACCCTTTTATAAAATGCACTTCGATAATATGCTGCCTTTTGATTACTCACTTCATGCAATTGCAAATTTATGTACTGTTTAAAATTTCTTTGGCAGAACCTAATAATGCAGCACGTGGATCATTCTGCTGGTGAATTAATTGATCTCTTGCAAGGTCTCCTAAGATATGATCCAGCAGAGCGGCTCAAAGCCAGGGAAGCTTTAAGGCACCCATTCTTCTCAAGAGATCTTAGAAGATATGGCTATCCCTTGTAGTCTGGATTCATCACTGTGATGAGCTTTGAACAACAGTATAAACAAAGAGAACATGCACGGTTGGTGTTGGCTGATGTCAGGTTGATTCATCACTGTTATTTGATTTCAGGTTGATTGTACCATTGTTCGGTATGGTATAAGTGTATTTTCTTCCCTCCAGTGCCCATTTGCCTTTTATTTTTTGGGTTCCTGATCCAAATTGTTCGGTATAGATTATGTTTTGTGAAGATGAAGGAAAAAATCAATATTTGTTGTTGCATGTCTCCGATTATTCCCCCCCTCCGCTGACTGAAATTTCCTTTAAATTTTGCTTATCATCTTGATTTTCTGCCATTAGCATGTCCAGGAATTCCTTTTCACTCACTCCGTTTTCATTTTTGTTTGTCTGATTCTGAATCTCTACATATCCTTCATAGAAATACAGAGCATAGGAGATTACTGTGAAGGCAATGCGAGTAGGCTTCGCACCAGCACCCAAACGGCTGAACCATTGTCAGTCACATGATCGTGGGTATCATACATGGCTCGGGCAACTGGGTTATGAACTTGACACTGAAATTCTAATGTGAAATTTGGTTTCTGTGATTTTAATACGAGAATTCATTTTCATAACCCAATGAATTATGTATAAGCGCAATTAATTAGTTGTCACCTTGAGCTTATTAACACTCCTACGTCGTCGTGATGTAGCTGTGAGCTCAGGAAAAAATTAAAAAAGGTCATTATCACTTATGACCTGTATTGTAATTGCATAAGAGTTAGCAGAGCACCCTCTAGGACATCTGTACGCGCCATGTGACCTGTAGATTAGATTTTTTTTTTTCATAAACTTAAAAAAATGTTAGGAGTGTAGAAAAATTTTTTATAATATCATTAAATTTAATTAAGTGGTTTGAATTAACTTCGTAGAAGTTGAATTAAAATAAAAGTTGAATTAAAATAAATTATTTAATTTAAGAGTGTAGAAAATTTTTTTATAATATCATTAAATTTAAGAAGTTGAATTAAAATAAATTATTTAATTTAATAAATCTAAAAATGATTTGAATGACCAATAAAAATAAAATATAATTTTTAAAGAATCTCTAAGATGATAAGTATATGTTGGATTGGATCAATTTTGATCTTGTGATCTGAATTAAAAATTTTAATGGGTTTAATAACTTTATTGTTTTTATAAATTATTTTTATAAAATCAAGCATTAACCCTAAAAAAATATTTATTTGAGATTGTGATAACCAAAATTGTGATGATTTTATAGAAAATAGAAAAAAAATTATAAATTTTATTTCCCAACCAATCCAATATCAAAAAAGAGTGAAATAAAAAAACAATAATTAGAAAAATTAAAGGATCTAAAAACAATATTAGATTTGATAGATAAACATGTTAAACCCTTGAATTGGGTAACCTGAGTCAACACATCAAACCCGCAAATAAGATCATGAAAAAAATAAATGCTCATAAAATCAAGTGTCAAATCAATATTAAATTTTTTTGTTAAGATTATGATAATATTGTAGAAAGAAAAATGAAATAAATTATGAAACTTAATTCTCAATAAACTCAATATCAATTCATAAAATAAAAATAAAGTTAAATTTGCCAAACCTTTCAACAGGCCCATCCACTTTTTAAAATTTAATAACATTTTTTTTTCAAAACTATTTTTTTAATTATATAAAAGAAAGAAAAATAAGCAATCACATATTCAAGTTTAATTAGAAAAAAAAATACCCCACTAAACTCACTAAACTTGCAAACTGGGATAACTAGAATTATCTTACTAAACTCACAAACCAAGTCATTGCTCAAAAAAGTTTAATAACCTAATTTTTTCAAAATAATTTTTTATTTAACTAAACTTTTTTTAAAAATAGATTATACCGCAATATTGGAGTATTTTTTTAATACTAACCCGATACTAGGAATATTTTTTTGATGTCGTGATTACCATATAAATTGTAAATTAAAATAAATTATCAACTATAAATCCCCATAAACACATTATAAGGACTAAATTAAAAAAAAAATTAATAACCAAAGGAAAGAAAAGGGGGTCAAAATGAAAAACAAAAACACCAGTGTGGATTACTGTTATAATAATAATTCACAGTGCTAATGGGTGTGGGGGAAATAATATTTTCCTCACTTCTTTTATATTTATAACTAGTTATATGACTTGCGCTCCGCTGTGAGTTAAATATTTTTATTTCATAAAAAAAAAAAAATATATATATATATATGCGTGTGTTTTTTCTGTATATCTCTGTTGTTTAAAAAATCTACATTCAAATATTTTTTTTTATACATATATGTAAGCAAATAAATCAAGAACTATATATATGAATAAATAAATAAAAAGTCATTAATGATACCCAAAACTAAAACTTGAAAAATCAAGAAGTAGGTGTATATCAAAATATTTAATCTCAAAAAATAGGATATTTACGCAGTTGTGTTTGCTAATTTTTTATTTAAGGAAATAATAATAGAAATAGAGATAGAAATTAAATTGATTGAATAAAATTAAAAAAAATAATCAAGGTTGCACATTTTAGAAATATTATCTGAAAATAAAGTTCATCCATAACAAAAAAAAAAAATATAGATGAATCAGAAAAACTGTTCAAATTTAAATGCATTACTAAAAAAATTATTATTATTTAAAAGAAACTCTCCAAATAAAATGAAAGAGAAAAGTGGTACTAATTTAAATAAAAATTAAAAAAAAGGAGAAAACTCATAAAAAGAATCATTAATTTAAAAAAAGAATTAGAGTTAAAATTTATAAGGTAAAAAAGAAAAAAAAAAAAAGATCAAGCTAGCCCACCTGACCCATTTTGTCAGCGGTCTGCCCTGGCAGACCCGCGCAATTAGACCATTGATTTTTTATTATTTGTAACTAGGATAGATAACATGTTGTTTACAAAAGCAAAAAAAGTCAACACAACACGTCATATGATTTACTCAGATTCCAACCATTGTGGTGGCAAAAAAATCAAGGTTTAAGTTCTTTTTATCCTTAAACCTGTTTTTCAACCTACTTTTTAGCAAAAAAAACCTATAAAACACGGTAAAAATCATGATATATATATATATATATTGCCTCAAGAAACCGTCTAAAAACCAAAATTAACCTGAATCTAAATATCAACCAAAACTCAAATATATTTTTTCATAAACTTCAAAGATTAAAAAAAGTCTAATATCAATAACACTTTTCTCTTTATACTACTGGAATCCAATGATTTCTCTTTCTCCTTTCTCTCAATCAAGGAAAGAAAAATAACAAAAATAAATTTTTATATTAAAATAAAATTAGAAAAATATTAAAATAATAAAATTATATAATTTCTATTATTTTTAAAGTTAAAGAATCAAATGCCATTTTTACAAAATTAATGACGCAGCATCCATACTTGGCGCGGTGAAAAACCAGGCATTTTAGAGAAATACTTAAAATTATCTGTGCTGCCTTAAGAGAAAATGATAATATTTTAAGTTGTAGTGCTCTAATTGTTCTAATGCTTTAACGAAAATTTTACTCAAATGGTGAAAATCAGAGACTCCGTGAAGTGACCTCCAACCTCTCCAGCTTGGTTGTTGAAACGGTGGGGTATGGAAGGCAAAAGTCAGAGACCAGGAAAAGAGACCCACAATCTCTGCAGGAGAAACTGCGGGCATAGAACGTTCCGCCCTCTTTTCAGCCATGATGGGCATTCATTGCTTCTCTTTGAATCATAAAAACGAGACCTGAATTGAGGGCTTTTTGTTTCTGCGGCTTCAATTTTTTATTATTAATTTGAAAAATATTATTTCAATATATTTTTAAATAAAAAATAACTACAATTATAATACAAAACCGACGACCTAGTTAAGGGGTGGATAAGAGTTAGGTAACTGGATCTGAATATTATTTTTAAAAAATTATCCAAAACAGATGTTCATATCGGAACATTATGGCAGAGATGGTCATTTAAAGGCAAGAAAGGTGGATTTTGAAGGTGGGTGACCTACCTTACCTTCCTCTCACGGGATTTCAGGCAAATGAATAATTGACACCCACGATTCCAAACTAAAATACATAAAAATAATTGAGGTTAGAAATACTGCTCAAAAGGAGAAAATAAATAAATTTAGTGTATGCTCAAGGAAATTTTTTTTTGTCAGTATGGTATGTTTATAAAATTATTAGTAAATTTATTTATGATAGATTTATTAATAGACATAAATTATTATTGATTAGTTTTTTTTAATAAATATTTTTTATCAATAAAATAATTATTCATAGAATTTTTTATCAATAAAACTATTAAATATAATAACATAAATTATGGTCTCAAGCGCTACTAGAGATTGAGAGTTAACTCTCTCCCCACTCTTATTTTCAAAAACATAATACCAAAATTCAACACTTTAATGTACAAAGAAAAATAAATCAAGGTTTAAGTCCTGTTTATTTATTACAAAATAGTTTTTTTAAAAAAATGGTTAGAATTATAAAAAATACATTGAAAAACAATTTCTAATATTTGGTAATGTTATGTAAAATAAGTTGAAAAATAGCTTATTAATATTTTTTAAATTTATTAATATTTTTTAAGTTT